TAGATCACGCTATGCGTCACCGGTTGCGATCGTGAATACCTCGAACGGTCTTGGGGTCTGTGTGATTACACCTACGCGACCGTGCACAAAGCACGTGCGACAGCCATCAAGACCGGCAGATGACGAAGAATCCGGATCCGCTTACTGGACGCGATCAACCCCGACGACGGTGACACTACTGATGACCCTGAATGGCGAATGTGGTGAATACAAGCTACGCGCACGAAATGGTGAACCACGGCACAACTATTCGGCCGTCGGCACGGCACAACCGAACACTTGTGACCAAAACGTGGGAGACGGTACGGTGTTTGCACGATTATGCGATAATAGTCTTTAACAGGAAGAAAACAAACACGCACAAAATAAAAGTCGGCACAGACAATCCACACAACCAGCTCGCTTGGTTGCAAGTGCCGCCTCGGAAAATAATTCCAGCGCGATAAAGTGCGAGCAAATTCTTTCATCAGCACGTCATCGTAGGGAACAGGTTGTCGTGGCCAGATACAAATATAATTGCTCGTTTGAACAATAACTATTTAAAGATGTAATTACTTAGTACTTCATGGTTAACATTGAGAAAAAATAATCCATTATAAACTAAATTTTACAAATGGTTTGATAGTTTATTAACAAATTGTAAATAAAACTAATAGTTTACGACTACAATTATTATTATAAATTTATATTAACAGTCAAGTTATATGATTGTTTATTATATTTTATGAGTATATAACAATTATTTATTTTTTCATTTGAAACACTTTATACTAAGTCTCCGTCCAAAGGCTTTTTCATATTAATCCTGAGTTATTAATTATAACTCGAAGCACAACCATCTCTTCAAACACATTTCAAATATACTAAACTTTATTTTATTAGCAAGCTTATTATATATTATAATAGGCAATTATTATCTTAAACCATCACGTTAAAATAAACATTAAATTTGTGGCTCGAAAGTGGAGTAACGAATGAAAAATATATTTTTATTTTTATTTTTATTTATAATTTACTCAACACGTGTGTAATTACTAGCGTACAGTAAACCGTTCAAAACGGTACAACGATAAGTAATACAACAATTTTCTACCCCCTTTATATACCTGGGAGATTTCAACAGCCATGGCTTAAGCTGGGGATCGGACAAAACAGACAACCAGGGTGAACAAATCAAAAAAATACTTGAATCAGACAACATTATTCTTCTCAATAATGGTGCACCCACCCGTCTCAATCCCTCAAATGGAAAATTCTCATCCATTGACCTATCAATATGTAGCTCAAACCATGCCCAACGCATTACGTGGTCAACTTTATCCGAAATATATGACAGTGATCATATTCCAATTAAGATCGAGCTACTTTCAAGCAAAACAACCCTCTCATCATCTCCTGCTAAATGGAAACCAAAAAATCCTAACTGGAATCTTTTCTATCAACTAGACGATGTCTATGTAAACACAAACCCCCTACACCAAACGGTCCAATTGAAAATGACATTATCCACATAACCAGTTCCATCATTAATGCAGCAAACATAGCAATCGGTAAAACAAACGGCACTTTCAACAACCGTAAAGTTCCATGGTGAAACCTAGAAATTAAGCAATCCATCATGGATAAGAATACCGCAATCAAACGGTTCCAAAAAACGGAAAAAATTAAGGACCATATACGCCTAAAGGAACTTCGCCGAAAAACAAAATATCTCGTAAAACGTAACAAAGCATCCTCGTGGAAGATGTTCACTTCTACCAGAGGCTTCAAAAGTGATCCCAGTTCTGTATGGAATAAAATTAGGTCTTTACATGGAAAAGGCAAAAAAAAAAAACAGACCCACATAATAAATGACACCACTCTTCTCACTGATCCAATCGAGGTTGCTAATATTCTTGGTAACCATTTCTACTCGAACAGCTCTGACAATAACTATGAGTCATTTCTAAATAAGAACCTCACCAGTTGACACCGATCACTCCAATCCGACATCAGCTCACTTAATTAAGATCAAAACCACCTCAATATCACCATTAGCTTAAAAGAACTAAGCTGGGCTCTTTCAAAATGTTCTAGCCTCTCCCCTGGCCCTGATGAAATTCCATACAGTTTTTTACACAACATATCCTCATCAACTTCATCTACTTCATCCTCAACCTTTACAACAAAATATGGAACACTAGACAAATCTCAAGCTCTTGGAAAAATGCCTTTGTTATCCCAATCTCAAAACCAGGAAAGGATAATTTTAGAATAGAAGGATATAGACCAATATCCCTCATTAATACAATGAGCAAAATACTTAAAAAAAATTATTAATTCTCGTCTGAGATGGTTCCTCGAAAAAACAAGTTATCTTTCTTCTCAACAAAATGGTTTTCGTAAACACAGGAGCACATACAACAGTCTTCACGATGAACAAAAAGACATATCAAAATTTTTAGATAACAACCAAGCTTTGGGACTTGTCGCTCTTGACATAACAAAGGCAGACGACACCTAACCCCAGATTATCGAACAATTACAACAAATCTTATGTAACGGCAACTCACTTCGTTTCGTCAAACATTTCCTGGAAAACATCTTTCTAAGTCAAAATTAACGGCCACCTCTCCTCAACCTTCAATCAAGAAAATGGCGTACCACAAGGTTCCACCTTCTTAGTCACCTTATTCCTTGTAGCCAAAACGACTTTAGCGAAAGAATCAAATTTCCCGTAAAATCATCGCTCTTTGAAGATGACCTGAATATTTACTGTCCCGCAAAAAACTGTTCCATCATATAGCCATATCTACAAGGCATAATACTATCACTTGCCACATGGTCTGAAACATCAGGATACCGTTTCTCCCCATCTAAATCTCAGAGCATCATATTTACTAGAACAAAAAAATATCCTTCTCTAGATATTTCAATGTATAACGTCCCAATTTAAACCTCAAAATCAATAAAAATCGTTGGAATCACATTTGATCACAAAAATACCTGGAACCACACCTTAAAGATATCTGAAGAGCAACCATGTTAAGAATAAATATTCTCAAAACTCTGTCACACTTCTTGGGGCGCAAATTCTATATCCCTTAAACAGATATATACATCACTCATCCTATCCAAACTAGAAAATGGTTCCTTTCTTTTTTTCAAATCTAAACTATCTAGCCTTAATATGATTGACATAGTACACAACCTAGGACTGAAATTAGCCTCCGGTGCATTCCGATCAAGCCCTATTCCCAGTCTGCTCAATATTTCTTATACCCCACCCTTAAATCTCATAAGAAAAAAAAATATCATGCTTCTATCTGCTAGACGAGCCTAGAACAACCTTGACATTCATCACGGCATCATAACCGAACTCCAAGACTCCAATTTTAAATACTCTGACATAATCAACCATGAATGTCCGACCACTCCCCCCTGGACGATGAATATCGACATTAATCTCAAACCCTACCGAAAAGCGAAACTACGCCAATTATATATAAAAGTGAACTAAAATCAATCCTTGAAGGATATCAAGATCATACTTGTTTTTTCACGAACGGATCCAAAACGGAAACTGGTGTAGGCGCTGCAGTTACATTCAATGAAACCAGACAAATATACAAGCTCCCTGAATATTGTTCAATCTACATGGCTGATGCCTTGGCTATCTCACATGCTCTAGATATTATAAAACAAGACACTATAAACAAGTCCATCATACTCAGCAATTCACTTAGCACACTCACAAGCATCGGAAATTTCTTTCATCCTAATAGCATATCACAAAAAATACAGAAACAGATATCATATCTTCAAACCAATGCACAGACTATCACCTTTATATGCATACCAAGTCATATCGGCATTCCCGGAAACGAATTAGCAGATACATGTGCCAAACAGTCCATCTCATCTCCACATTCTCTAGTCCTCTGCTCACATACATTACAAGATTATAAACACTTCATCACTGAGTATATCCTTAAAAATTGGCAACACACCTGATCAACTCTACGAACCAAGCTAAACGAAATCAAACCAAGCATTCTCCCATGGCCAACCATCCATCTTCCCAGGTGTCAAGAAGTAATTCTTAATAGAATCAGAATTGAACACATATGGTTAACTCATACCACCTAATGACCAAAACGAATCCCGAACCTTGTCTCACTTGTGGTGAAATTCCTTCAGTCAAACATATCATATGTTGCTGTCAAGAATTCAACGGCACTGGAATCAAACTTAAGTTAGCTGACAACCTCCAAGAAGCACTAGACCTGGATCCAGACAACATTAAAAAATATTCACCTTCTTAAAACTAACTAAATTATATAATTTAATCTAAATATGGCCTCACGCCCCAAACTTGAATTGTATAACTCACCCACCGCTTCCTCTTTATATGTATAAAATGCAATGCTCTTTATCTAAAAATATGTTTATATTACCTCATTATGTATTACAAAAGTCAATAACCATAGCTGTTGTGACTTATTGATAAAAAAAAAAATAAATAAATAAATAAATTAAAATAAACATCTAGTCAAATACATGGACAAACCAGAAATTGGGGTTTTTTATTTTTAATTATTTTAATTTACATTTAGTCCATTATATACTATTATAAGTTATAGTGCGGGGGAAAGTAAATTGGGTTTATTGATACCTATTAAAAATGTATTATTAACTTATGTCACATTATTTTAGGAATACAGTATAACTGTACAGCATTGTGGCTGTTATAGGTAGTAGGCACAGTACAGAATGTTATGACCATAGAAAAATCGGTTTTTCTCGGATTTGGGTGGGTGTACAACATTTTACAAAAAAAAGTACATTATACTGTCAATGTTTGGTACTATTTTTCAAAAGTGGCCGTGCTGGTGATACGGACCTTGTACAGTGTCATTCTCATGGTTAAGTAAAATATCAGCTAAAACTGCGTACAGTGTTCTCAAACGGGTACATAAAAATACCTAAAAACAGTGACATAAAAAAAATGTAAATGCATATAAAGTGAAAACGGAAAACCGTTGGTTTATTTCGTTTCTCGATGTGAGGTAATTATAAATTATTGAAATAATCATATAAGCGGTTCGTAACTTATCGCAGACAGCAATTATTGTTATATCGTAGCGTTTAATACAACAAAAAGGTTTTTCAAAACAAATAAGAAAAAAATATATGTGCCCACGCGGAATGCGCACTCATTATTGATTATTTTGATTTTGTTATAATTACATATTACAAAATCGGCCGACACGCGATGGAATAAAACTCTTTTGGTTACACGGACGTCGATCGGTCGGCTAACGACGACATCCTCGTGATCCTTCCTTTGTATATCTTTCCGTTCGGATCGCTATTCTTTTTCTTGGGTGGAGACGGTGCCGGCAACCGATCCAATACCGACGGAACCACGTATAACGGGTCGTAACCAAACATCTGTTGTTGGGTCTCCCGTGACTTCAGTCCTATCAATGTCGCCGTACCGTCCTCTAGCGGATCCAGGCCTGCCAGCTAAAACGACCGAAAACAAAATGAAAACCAATCGTCAGAACCACTTTGACTCGACGTCGTCGTAATGCTCTAATACTACTCTATCAATTTCGTGATTTCTGACGTTTTCCCGAAAACTTTCGCGCGACAAGCTTATCGGACGAGTGTACAAGTATTTTAGAATAATTATTATACTGTAAACTTCTACATCGACCGTTGCGGAAATCTAACACCCATATATAATTTCTAAACTCAGGTGTACAATCGCAATTCTACTTGGTGCAAGAGAATTTTGTAGTCTAAACAAAACATTGACGATTATTTTCGAAAAAATCAAAACATAATATAAATGATTGATGTTATATCCTCGATCGAATGCAGTAAGTCTGTTTATTATTTGTATTATAATTACGAGATAATTACTCGATTTTCGAATAATCGATGTCATGGTTAAAACTCGGCCTTTATCCGGTACTCAGTGTAACACTAGATTTTTTACCCGACTGTTAATCTGTGCATAAAAATATTTACATCTATTAATATAACATGGAACATCTTAAGTTATGAATTATAATATAATATATGTTTAGGATTAACGAGCCAATTTTGATAGCTGGTTATTACTGTAAAAAAATCGGTGTTTTATTCTAAGGATTAGAAAAATAAATCGTATGCTCAATAATAAATTACATTAAAACAATCTGAAACTGAAACACATTATTCCTTACAGGCTATCACCCATCAATCAACGGTCACGACGCGTCGTTATAATAATTATAATAAATTATAATATATTATAAATTATAATAAGCGAACTAAGAACAGCAACAATAATTGTTGCTGTTCTTAGTTCACTTGTTGCCTGCTTATAATTTGTAATTAATCTATAACTTAAGATTTTTTTTTTTTTTTTTATTCGATCAATATTATAAAATATACATCCAATTGACGACAATGAAGAAGTGCAATTTAATTCCTTTAACTATGTTTTTAATCAATACAATTTAGAGATGTTCCGGTTACCCAACGATTACCCGTTAGCCGAGTACTCGATGTAACAATTATTGAAACTCGTCGCTCAAGGTCCATTTCCACTGCCCCGGGACGTGTCTGAGCTCGGTCCGTGTGCAATAAAATAATTTGATCTATTTTAGTTTGAAATAACACCGTTCTCATTTATGCAGGATGTGACCAGAAAATTATCGTTGGAGACGATTCTCATTCCGTGGACGTGTTCAGCCCGGTAACTTACATGTCCAAACAAGTGTGAACAATGAAACGGACCGTGTGGTCTCCGAGTTCATTGTTTCGCCACTGAAAAATCGTCGGCGTCAAATTAGACTAAACACGGCTCTACTCGCACATTGTAATCAAATTTAACGAATAACTATCACACAAATAACAGGTAATAACAACTTATTACTCACTTAAAGGTTTGAAATAAGGTTTTTACTTGTTTTTTAAATAAAAACGTTAGGTTAACTTCACCCGACAATACGTAAGAAACTAGCACGTGGCTACTAATTTCGAGATGCCTGACTTTGACCGATGACAAGACATTGTATCGAAGAGGACGGGGCACTGAACACCTGACCCGGCCCGGACACGTCCCGGAGCACTGACAACGGACGTTTAACCGATACTCTGCTAGGTTAGGTGAGGTTTTCACTCCGTATTATCGGGTACTTGGTGTGATACCGAAATTTTTTGTCGGCAAAACACTCAGTACCCGGTTAACGATCGATTTTCCACCAGGAACCAGGGGCTGGAACCGAACTCAAAAGAACCGGTTCTGTAACCCAAGAATTCTTAAAATATTGGGAACCGGAACCGAATTTTTAGGCTAATACTATAATATTATACACTACTATATAGCTGTTAAAAAAAAAAAAACAATGTAAAAATTAATTAGTTAAAGAGTGACATTTTGAGATATTTATTTTCATAAAATATGCCATATTGCCTAGTGTAATGCTATAATACAGGTAACATATGTATCATTTTTAAACATGTATCAAAAAATACTAGGGAATAAATTAAAGAAAAAAAAAAAAAAATGTAGAACCCTATAGTACCGGAACCTGAACCCGAATCCTTATTTTGTATTTTTCAAAAACCGAGACCCGAACCTTTTAATAAAATAATCGAGAACCGGAACCGTAAAAACCAGTCCCCAACCGGAACACCTCCATTGGTTACCCGTCCCTAGGGCCCGGGCAGTGTGCCCCGTAGTTTTACCGGCGTCGGAATCGCGTTTTCCGCGACCGCCAGACTCCGTCCGTCCGCCGCCGTCGCACCGGTGTCGTCCGTGGCGTGGCCGAAGTACTTCGAGTGGATCTTCGCGAGCAACGGCCAAAAGTAATCGTAATACGACCCGTCGTCGGGCCGCCACGTATGCAAACCGATCAGCCGATCGTCTTGGGGCGGTTCGCACCGGACGGCGACGAACGATAACGCGAGCAGCAGATATTTCATGGTCGGGCGGCGAAAACTCGTCCGTTGCGCCGGTGCACGTGTACCTGCCGCGGTCACGGGGGTCGGCCGAGCGGATTTTTTAACGAGAGTGTTTTTACTATTTCAAGAGATTACGCTCGGCCGAACAGTCGTTCGCTTCTGGCGCGCACTGAACACTATCAGTTCTTTTTTTTTTTTAAACTATGCACTCGCATTGTAATCGTCACGTTGTTGCACATTCGCACAGGGTTTACGATTAGGCTCATCGTCCGCGCGCGCAAACACTCGCGCCGTTTCATTACCGTTGTGTGCGAATGTGCGGATAACCAATTTGTTTCCCTGCCCCAGCGCCCGCCCGTCCCGCCGCGTCTGGTGTTGCACGTTGTTATTATTATAACGCCTGTCGGTGCGCGTTTCGTGCAGACCCATTATTATTCGGTTGTACGTTAAGTACTCGTGTGCGTTCACATCGTTTAAAAATTCGATGTTTTTTTTACGACGACCGCGACGAATTTCGGGGGGACCGCGCGCAGTGTACGCGGTCCACGTGTACAACAATTTTAAAGCTTGGTTTTGGATAAAGAAGATTCATTATTGTTAATATTTACTCTTCCCCCCCCCCCCCCCGTTGAAATGTAAATCGTTTGTTAACAACGGTATAAAAACAATTTATTGTTAAGATTTCGAGAAATTATTAAGTACGTGAAGATTTCTTTATGCAAATAAGATACAACTTTTTCACAGACTAGAGTATGTTATATGAAAAAATGGCAGTCGTAAAATATTTTATCTCTATGATGATCTCCATATCTACAACTGAACTTTAAATGAAATTTCATAATTTTGGGAGACGAGCTTATGTCCAACGTGAACGTGGCAAACGTGAATTTGCGGTTTATCGTGTTCCGATACTTTTTGTTTTTTTGACGTGCAGTGTGTTTTGAAGTGAATTGTGCAAAGGGGGCATAACACGATTGCGGACTTTTTACCTTTTTATATTTGAGAAAAACAACACAATTGCGCACCTTAAATCTTTTTTCTTTGAGCAAACACAAACATTTAAATACATTTTAAAATAATTTTAAATAAATTATTATAGTTTAAGAAACCCAACTATAGTATAGTATACGTATACACAATTGCTACGGCCAGTGGATACTATACGGCGGCTAATAATATTTTATTACTATAATAACTGATAAGTGTTACTTTCACGTCGTATTATCTAAATATTATATTAGATTGTGGCAGTCTGCAATGTGCAACATGTATATGTCTGTTTTATTTTTGTGCAATTTTATTTTGGGAAAATGGAGAAACAAAAAAAAAAAAATTGAAATAGAAAAAGATTTTATGGGCAAATGAACCTTCAACCGAGGCAAGAACGACCAATTGGCCAGAATTTTTCCATAGCCACTATAATGCTTAGTTTTATACATTTCATTATTATATTCACCAAGTTATACATATTTTATTGGATCTTCAAAGTGAATCTTATTTAAAAAATAATAAATATTAACAAGCCACGTAAAGAGCAAGAAGAGAATATTGCATTTATAATAAATAGTTAGAAAAGGTATAAAAATAATGAAATATCTTTAAATAATTATTTGCTGACATTAGGACCACGTTTTTGTGCTAAAAAGTTATAAGAACTTGATATTTTTATTTTATTTTTTTTTTTTTGACGCGTTATAATAAGTTACTGTGATGTATATACATACATTTTTTTTACTATACGTATTAAGTTATTATTAATGTTGGTAAATTAATTTAAATATTTGTATTTGCTCAAAGAAAAATGATTTAAGGTGTGCAATCGTGTTGCACCTATGCAAAAGTTTATCGCCAACACCAATCTGTCCTTTTTTATTAAATGTATTCCAAAGAACATTTCTTTTTTGCACTTCAGATATAATGAGCAAATGAATTGGCTCGCGTTGCCCGCGTTTATCGCGTACAATGGACGATCTAATATGTTTTAATATGATTGATAATTTTTTACGCCACTAACACCTCGGACACGGCGTTTGCCTAAACGACCTATAGTTTCACCTAATTTTTCTGATGTCACACAACGATATCTTGAAAACGCATTGCATGCAACGTATACTAATTAAACCCTGCGTTCACGGTATGCATCGTATTGCATTTCGAACGTCACTAGAAAATTTTAAAATACGAGTAAAATCGCGGTCGTTCGTTGTTCGCAGTCCTTGACGTTTACAATCTCTAATGGATCGTACCTGAGACGTGTGCATGTGTATATCTACCAAGTATTTTTGGTAAATCGCACGTATACAACTGTTTAAGCGATCAATCATACACCTATTATAACATGCCATTCATCATAATATTATTATGACAATCGTTGTTTCTACACGCATAAGTGCTCGATTTTGATAAGGATTATTTTTTCGTACGACCGACGAAATAGTTTTTGTGTCACGTCGAGCTGCAATGAAATGTCCCTCGACAATACAAACACAGCTAACATGAACTATTAGAATGTTACATATTTTCATTGTTATTTAAATACATCACGCGATACCGGTACAGTTCGAAATGAGTGTATCGAATATATTACATCACAAATTATGATTGTTAATTTTCTGTATAAAAACGTTTATGCTTAGAGTTAATCCAACTACGATACAATAATTGTATTGAAATATCACTAATAACAAAATAATGATTTCTTGGCACACATCTCAATGGTCTGAGATAATATTTTTAAACAAACAAGAAAGAAATACAATATACAAGATTTTAATATTCATGTTTACATCGAAGATGTAGATATAGCAACATAATAAATTTTTTATAAGGGTTAAATACCCACGCACAATATATAATTCCATTATTTTGCTTACAAATTATTGATGTTTGAAAATTAGAAAGGTTTTAAAATTCATTATATTATTTTCCTGAAAATATTTCTCATATCGAACACTAATTTAATTTACATTTTGGAAATATTGTAGTTATTTTATAAGCCAATGGATTGGTTATAGGTAATAGGTTTACTTATAAGTGCATTAATTTGCTCTTAAAACATAAATATCATTATCTTGTAATATTATATCGATCGGAATAAAAAAAATATTTGGTCTATTTAAAGTTAAGTATACAACTACCAAAATTAGAAATTTACATAATGTATTCATATATTTACATAATTATGAGGACATAAAACAAAATCACGATAACCATATTTTTGTAATTATTGTGCAATTTTTTTTTTTAAAACATTTAAATATTATATTATTTTTAAAACATATAAAAAATTACATATTTACATACATAAATTATTATATTAATTCTATGACATTTAATGTTAACATTATTGTATTAATACGCAAAATTATGGATTTTATTTTATACCAACGAGTGACAAGAATTCTAAATTATGTTCGGATTTATATAAAATCAAAAGGTTCAGAGTATGTATTTTTAATTAAAAAATATATAATTAATGTTCGGTATTCTAAAACTATCAACAATGGGTTATTTTTCATGCTATTTGTCTATATTTGATTAAATTTCACGTTATATAATTAAGGTTTTCTGTAGCATTATGATTGACACAATACGTGTTATTTAGTATAACTAATAAATTACTATGGTAATTGGATAAATTAATATGTAAATTGCTTTTGGATTTATATCAAAAAAAAAAAAAAAATTAAAACAACAAACTATAATATGATCACTAAACAAATAGATATTCTAATTGATCTAACATATTATTTTTAAAACTCAATTTTGAAATGATAGTTTTAGATAAACAGTCTTAACTTTATTTAGATAGAATTAAATACATAAAGAATAATGTTTTTCAAATGGTTATATTGGGTTCACTGGATCATCGTGGTCAGTCTCGAGTTAAACTAAATCAAATTGAATATTCGTTGAAGATTCTATTTAAATATAGATGAATTAGAGTAGCATGATCAATACAAAAACAGAATACAAAAAATAAAAATAATTTGAATGTTTTACCAGCAAGTACTATTTTTTTATTATTTTTATTATTATTCTTTCGGCCAAAAATATCATTAGCCACCAATGTTTCAAAAAAAGGATAATTTATTACGTACTATATGTACTATAAGCAATGTCTGGTCATTAATCTTTCTGTTTCATCGTTATGCTAAAAAATTATATCGCGAATAAATATGGCTTGGAAAGTTTAAAATAAAATGGAAATATTCTGTTGGACATCTTTGTAAGCACTGCAAATTTATTATTTTAATATTTTTTCGTCAATTTGTTTTTTCTTTTTGATTGATACTAACCCCAGACATTTCTTCGGTCGACAAGGAAATAGTGTAAAAGTCCACATGAACACCTATATCAACAAATTTCCCTAAGTGTTGTACATTTACAATACTTAAAAAAATCAAATACATTGATTACATTTATTATAGCAAACGTACACTACTGTTATCTCTAAGATTTTATTTATCTGAAATTGAATACTAATGCCAGAACCATGGACAACTTTGGATGAAAATTATAGTTCAATTAATCTGATGAGCTAAACAATAGAGGTATAAATAACAATACATACCGGCAAGCATGTGCAAGTCAGCTTCACATTAAAAACATACCTCAAGTGTGCCCTTGATTAATAATAAACAATATTTCGATTTCTGTCTGAACTAAAATAAAATACTTAGGCATATACTCGACGAATGACAGACCTGAGGTCCCTCGATTAAAAGACATAATAAAATCAGTGAACAATAAACTTCATATCTTCTGTCCTCTCTTTCACTCGAAAATACCACCTAAACATAAACTAATTAAATAAAAGTCAATTATTAGGCCGGTTTGGCTTTATGGAATCGTAATCTGGCGTCCTACTAATCCATCAAACACCAGACAATTGAGGTGTTTCAATGATTTGCTCCGAGGTTACAATCGCACGCGCCATAGCTAGTTCCAAACCTGTCTTAGTATAACGACTTACAATTACATCAATCGTACAACAGAACTAACCAAATCAAGTACAAACGTTTTCACCGAAATTGAAGCACGCAAAGCAATAAACACGCATCTCAACAGTCCATTATCACTCCCCTGAAAAGTTAGCCACGCAGGCTAAAGTGTAAATGGTGTAGATATATGTCAAGTTAATAATTAACTATTATTAAAACCAATGGTTTTTTTCTCAACAAAATATAGTTATAATTTATATTTTGTAACTTCGAAGCAATAGCAATCAAAGTGGTACGATAATTGATATAGATTGATTGCAATATTATTAAAAATTGTATGGAATAGGTATGTAATGTAGATTTTATATTAAAGTCTGTATTATTGTTCAAAACTTTTTATTTTTCATGAAAACGTTTTTTCTTAAAAATTTGATTTCAAATAATTGCACGGCACCCTTGAGTTCCAGTCGTAACACGGCGCACTAGACAACGGGTGTTGCTGCTTCGACAAGACGGTCCAAACGGTTCGCAAGACCGAATTTTGTCACTGAAGCTGAACACGACACGCATTATGGGCCTGATAACGGGTAACCGGTGAAAACCACCGTAATGAACATTGGATCCAGATGACCATGGGCCGGACAGATCAAGTTCGCTGGAGTGTGCGGGCATCCGTGTTCGATGAGCGATCCGCTTACCTACGCAAAACTCGGGCCTGTCAAAAAAAAGGAAGAGGTTCTAATGAAGTGCACTTGGTTGAAGTGCCGCGCAATAGTCATAGTCGCTGTGAATACAACGGGCGAATGTAAGTTCCTACACGAGAGTAACAGGTACAAAAAATACGTACGTTAGTTCCTACACGGAGGAAAAAAGTACATATGAATATATACACAATTAAATGTGTACATATGAATCTTCAAAATTAAATATACGATGATTGAAAAATATAATAAAAATCGCATAGCACATTGTTGTCACAAATAAAAAGTATATTTGAATGTAATACTACCTATTATGTTGTTATAGAATAAAATAATGTTTTATAAATACTCTAAAACGAGTACCATGATTAATTATTAGTATAAGGTATTTTTACTGATTAAAAGTTTCAATTGATTTTATTTGTATCCTCCATAAAATATTTTTATCAGTGGAGCCAAACAAGGCTAAGTAAATTTTTTAAAAAAATTAGAAATATATCATGTGTAACAGTCATTTAGCAAAAAAAGAATTATTATTTATCAAGATTTGTATATTGAAATTTTTTTTCACGATTTATATTATAATGAATACATATTTCGAAACTTTTTCATAGGGATTTCAAATGGTTATCGTATATTTAATAATTTATTTTAAAAATAATAATACCATGAAGCAGAAATTATATCACAAATTAAGTATTGATTGTGGCTTTAAATAAACTGTTAACTTTGTGACCCTTTACATCACTAAGAAAGAAATATATTTATGAGTGATCATTAAATAAATGATTAAGTAATTTTTAATAAATAACAATACACATATGCGGTTAAAAATGTGCATAATAAATAATATATTTAAACAATATAATAATTATAATATAAATTAGTAACACGGATTATTAGATTATTAATCACGGGATTATAAGGAATAAACATGTTCGTATAGGAATACAGGTATAGTTCAGATATACGGTGTGTAAACGCTAATTGAGAACACTTAATATCTTTGCGTAGAGATCTGTAATTTGAATTATGTTACTTAGTTGGCTTTTATTGCATAAAAATAAACATTTTAATAATTAAATAAAAAATAAGAATTACATTTGTTATTAATTATTAATACGTTCCATTCATTCCAATAGATCCGTTTAATGTAGCGAAATTTATAACATACCTATTTACGGTTTCTGTTTCTATGCTATAAGTTATAATTCTTCCACAAATTTAAGTGAAAATGAATAGTAGTTAAATTATAATAATGTGTAAAACTAAGCTTAATAAATAGAGATAAAATGTCAAGTTTGAATATCCATAGAACAATCATTTTCAGAAATACTGTAGCTTTGTCTAATTTGGACTTAGGAAAATGGTTAAGTTAGCAAAATAAATTTAAAAATTAGGCAAACAATTGAGGGGCGATATTCCATAATGTACTAATGCCACTTTTCAAAATGTTCAGGAATCACGATTTTCTATTGTATACTGTTGTTAAACAGTAGAAAAAAGGTAAAATATGTTAAAAATTCAGAAAAATATACTTATTATACTTCTCAAGTCAAAATTACCTTAAAATTATTATTTTACTATTTTAATTGATAATTTTAAATGTTGGTTGCGCCATAGTGTACTTTTTCCATCCAATAGTACACTTTGACTTACTTAAGAATTTAGAGAATAATGAACCAAGTTTTTCCAAAATGTACATATTCCATAATTTCCTACAGATGTGGAATAGTATTTATGAAATAAAACCCAATGGTAAAAATTAAGTAGCCTTTTTTGAATAAAGTATGATGGATGAAAATAGTTAAGTTGTAAAGTTTGTCTTCAAACATATTATTGCCAATACAAATATTTTACAGTTTTTGGATAGCATGGTACCGAATAACTAATAAATAATAACCTTAATAATAAAACAAACTTTTTTTTTTACAATATTCCTTGTGAATCAGAATCTATGAATTCATTAATAAAGGTTAAAGGAGAAATTACTAAAATAAAACAAATAAAATAATTTAACAATATTAGATATTATCTTTATCTGTTTAAAATAAAATAAAATCAATACATTAAAAATGTTAAAAATAAAAACAATTTAGCCTCATTAATAATAGTAATGTAGTATAAAGTATAACAAATAAAATTAAATTAATAAACAATATCAAATAGATATTACCCTATACCTATTTAAAATACTAAGTACGGGTTAAGGTATTTTAACCAAATAAAATGAATATAATTTATTAAAATACAAAAAAAAAAAAAAAAAATTTTGCCTCATTTATAATAATAAAATAGTAAATAAAATAATAAATTTATTAATATTATTAACAACTAGATATTACCCATATCTATTTAAAATGTTGATTAATGTTTTTTTAAAATATGATACAATGATTAGTCAGTCTTGATCTTCATTATATTCATCTACAATATCTTCAACGTTTAATTCACAACTTTCTTTAAATATATCAGAATAAAATGTTTTTGCATCATCTGGTATCGTAAAAAATCTTAAAAGATTTTTTACATCTTTTTGTTTCAATACCTTTACATGATTTGTCTTAGGTAATTCTATAAGATAAGACTAAATATCTTACCATTACTCTTGCATTTTTCATTAAATTTCTTATGCGGCCTTTCGAAGTCATCTTTACGTTTAAGAAAGACGTGTTTAATGACATGTAAAAATAATTGTTTTAAGCCTCAAAAGCAAAATAAAATTTAAACTATTATCTATCACGTATTCATTAATGATAACAGCCAAGTTTTGGAGCGAATTTTATGGTATAATGATGAAGTTAGAAACGTTCTATTATGTTTTACCTTTTAGGTTATTATAATCACTATATGAAAATGTAAATCCGCACAGCTATAGTGATAACATGAATTTAGAATAAATATAAACTCAAAATTTAAATAAGGAATAACTTTTTCATTTGTAACACATGGCAATAGTGCATCTTGAATATAACCGATGTACTAAATTTCCTTTTTATCATGGGCAATAGTACGTTATGACGTAGTCTGGATATAATACATTTTGAAAAAAATCATGGAAATAGTTCTTTTTGAAATATTTCTATGGTCTGATTTTTAAATTACCATGGGCAATAGTACATTTTGGCCAAATTGATAGATTCAGTACACATAGTACATTCTAATAAATTCTCGCCATCGGCAGTAGTGCATTTTGACGCAATCTTAGTATTTGTAATCAATTTATTGATAGGAAATAGTACGGTTAGGCATAATTTGATGGTTTCAAACGATTCCCCACCATTTAAACTATATGTTTTGATGTATAACTCATATATTCAATTTTTTGCTATAGTACACTTTGGAATGTCGCCCCTCAATTGTTAGTGGTGGGTTCAATTTAAGAAAAAAGTTGTTTATTTTATTTAATAAATACCAACTAAATATTTAATTCAAATTGCAGGTCTCAACCAGGGACTGGAACCGTTTGAATTTATCGGTATTGGTTCCGGTACTGGTTCTCAGAAAATAAAATAACTATTCCGGTTCGGTTCCGGTTGTATGATGAAAATTAATAAAGGTACAGGTTCCAGATAATTTCGGTATCGGTTCCTGTTATTAGTCAAATATAATATTATTTCTTATCAATAAAAAAAAAAAAAAATAGTGAATATACTATAATATACCATCGTCCATTTGTTAGTGTAGTATAGTAGTAAACGAAAAATTATTTTAATATCTATTGCTGACATTCAACAACGTTGTCCCCTACTGATATAAAATCTGTTATAACTGGTAAAACTAAATCGTTATGTATCAGAATTTAGAAAATAGTAAAAATTTAAATTAAAAATCGCATACGATAAATAGGTTAAAAATAATTAAATTATAAATAATAGCCTTCACTCCATAGGAGCAGTAGTTAAAAAATATTTACAATACTCGTCAATCGTCAATAAACTATGAACTACAATTCACACTAGCGGGTAGTGTGTTTATTTTAATAATATCATCGCTTTATTTGGAAGATAATATAGATTCCAATTATGGTATATACTGGGAAAAACATTTCTATATAATGTATTTTGTGATAAGTATACACATAATAAATACTTCAAAAATATAATTTTAAATAGGTAAGAATAATAATAAGAACTTTGTATAGTTCTAGGTATAAACATAATAAGAATGGATCCCTGATTATTTATAAACAAAGTAGTAACTACAAATAATCTATGCTAAATAAAATTATTTAATTTTGGAACCTAAAAGAACTTTTATAATTTAAAAATTCCGGTTTGGTTCCGGTATCGGTTCCTATTATTTAAAAGGTTCCGGTTCCAGAATCGGTTCTTTTCGGTTCGGTTCCTGTCCCTGGTCTCAACACAAAAATATTGAGTGTTCTCAATTAGCATTTACATACTGTATTTATAAAAAAAAAAAAAAAATCGTTTATTTGAACAATTAAACAATATAACCGAGTTATAATCGAAAATAATAGATTAACATTCAATAAAGTGTATAAACATGTAAAGAGATCAAAAAAAAAAAAAAAAAACTAAAAAATTAAATAATGAGGCCTTGGAATTTTGAATTGGTTATGATCAATGAATACACAATCCGATTACAATCATTCCGTCTGGTTCTTTTATATACCCATGGTTCGCTAAGTTTTAAATAATCTGAAAAAAAATTACGGTTGTATTAATTTCTGATCATTTGAATAATTATGATATTATTTTTAAAGGTTTCATTTACCTAATTTGGTTAACTTGCTTTCTACAGAATAAGAGACAGGTTGTTCAACTTTTGACCTATTGACGACGGTTCGGTGTTGTTTTTTACTCTTCGGTTTGTAATTATTATTGTTCTTCAATATAATTTTAATGCAATCTGAAATCATAAAACAATGATAGATTTTATGATATGATGTACGACGTTAAGCAATTATTATCGTCTTGTAATCTTATTGACATTGAGGTGAGTTTTAAATACATAAATTATGCCATTGTGATGGAAGATTTTGGTAAAGGTTCTAGTGTGAAAATTCATTATAATTTTCATACTGAACCTTTTAGACTTTAACCAAAGAGTATTTTTACGGTGAATTTTATATTTTTCCTGTGGTCATTTTGGATTTGGCCTTTCTTATTTTTTTTTATATATTGCCCATTTTTCCTTGATTAGAAGAAGTAACTATTTTTTTTTTGGCATAGGTACTGAAAATATTTTTTTTGGACCTCAAATTCATTGAACAACGACCACACTGCACGAAACATAATCGCATGATGGATGCTTATATGCTCGTAAAATTTCTGTGGACTTACCAAATGCGGTGATTCGCGTCCACGATGGATTTGCGAGGACGTTCACTTGAATGAGTGTACCATGGTCCGGGCTTTCCTGCACCATTTGCCATGATAAGATAACGGTTTCGGGCTCGACCCAGTCCCACAACGTCTCTAGTGTGCAATCCGCTGTTGAATTTGATGGGATCAATTCCCACATCTCTAATGTTGGTTTCTTTTCCGGAGTCATCTGCCAGAAGATGCACTGGAATGTGACGCGTACAACCAGACCGATGGCCGGATCGTAGGTCACTTCGAGGCACACCTGCGAGATATTGTCGTTGACGGTCATGGACCAGGTCCAGATAAGACGGCGGGTCACCGCGAAAGGACCGACCACTACCACACCGCCGGGTCCGTTCAACGTCGTCCTTGCCTTTGCTACCGCGTCCTTAACCACGTACGGAAATATACCCACGAATCTGAATGCGGTCAGCAACGATTCTTGTTTATACTCCATTTCCCATGAGGAAGTGATTAGAAACCGCAGGACCTCCCTCGGCATCAGCCACATATAGAGCCACGTCGTCAAAGTAGGAAGGATCTCGACTGGTACCACTGCTGTGATACCCTGCAATTGGACGTCTTGGTTGATTGCCTTCTCCAGCACGTCCTTCTCCAGCATGTCCTTTTCCGGCACGTCCTTCTCTGGCACGTCCTTCTCGGAAGATGGAATGAATTGTATCGTCACCGTTTCAGTATCAGTGGTAGAAACGCTGTGGTGAGTTACCGCCACTTCGTATACCGATCGGTTTACAGACCGACTTTCCGCCACCCAACACTTTTTATGGATTATGCTTTTGCAAGCTGTTAAGTGATTATTTTATATTTTAATAAGAAATCCATCTTGTAAATTATCAAGAGTATCGATACTAATGCATATGTATAAACAATAAATTACAATGTAATAATTTAATTTATAGTCTTATATTGTTTTACTTACCAATGCACTTAACCATTTTTTTCAGTCGAAAAAAACTTCTTTTTTTGCAAATCGAACATTTCTTTGGACTATAAAACAGTTGTTTAACATTTTCATGGTCCATTATGTTACATTTAATATTAAATAATGTCGCCATTACTTATTTATTTTTGTTTACTTTCGAAATATAAAATTACACACAAAGCTGAAAATGTATATTCGTTCACTGTTTGACATCAAAACGTGTTGTGATTCAATAGCTTATAAAACCAGCGAAGTAAACATAGTTTTTAATGTTACCTATAGCTACAATATGGAATATGAAATTTGTTGATTTTTGGACTTAGCCAATAATATAATATATTATAACGTGACACATATTACAGTTAAAACTATTGCCACGAAAAATATGATAACTTGAAATTATGTCAATTTGTTACTAGACAAAATTTGTTTGTTTCATCATTTGTTATTTGACATTTTTATTTTTCATTATTATTATTAAGAAACGTCTTATTATCTTTATTCTATATTGAATTATTTTATATATCTACGTAACATAAAAAAATCATATAAGTATATTTCAAAGAAAATTGAAAGGTCTGTCCAGAATGAAAATTGGGGAATTTTATTTTTTACTTTTTTATTAATAGACTCTAGTATAAAACTATGATAGCTCAACGATTACAAATATTAATATAAAAATATTTTATATTATAAATCTAACTTCCAAAATAATAGAGGTTACAATTTTTATAAAAATTTCAGATTTAGTATTCAGTATGGAGTTAAAACAGATTAAAACAAATGTTGAGAATTTTATGAGAATTTATTAAGATTTGGTATTTAGCCTGAAGAGCAGGGCAATCAAATAAAATATGTGGAAGGTCACAGATACATTCATTTAAATGAAGTGTGCAGAAAGGAGAGTCATTTAGGGCGAGTTTAAATGAGTGACTAGGTAATAGATTGTGTCCCATACGTAAACGATTAAATTGGACAATCAATGGTCTATATAGATATAATTTATTGAACCACGTTTTATTTAGAATATTTGGGGTAATATTTCTATATCTCGAGACGAAATTTGCCGACAGGTTATTCCAGTGGGAGGACCATAAATTGGATGTATATATTTTTATCAAAGGGTTGAAATCAGACTGGAGAAGTTGAGTAAAAGAAGGGAGGGCAGATTATATTATGTGTGGATTTGGCTAGTTTATCGACAACTTCATTGCCAAGTTATATTTAAAAAAAAAGATATTTACTTGTTTTGTTAAAATATTCAATATAGTCAAAATTTAACTATTAATCTTTAACAAAACTTTTATGTGACTTTCCGAACAATTATTTTCATTAATACTCACAATGAGTGATATGTAAAATATCTTATATCAATAGTTATTAATATTAATATTCATTAATAATACTTATATTCAATTTCCAACCATTGGGTATACAAATTGAAAGTTATATGATATTTTAACTTCAATAATATTGCTTATATTCTCATGATTTTTGTCGAGTTTTGTCAACATTTGAGTATTAAAATACTTAAATCATTAGTTATTATTTATTTTACGGTTATAAATAATAAGGTTGGACTGAGATAACCAATCTTATTGTGAATTATTAAAACATTTTCTTACAATGGTATTGTTTTACATTTTATTCATACAAACATGTCATGTACTAAGATTAAGCTATAAATAATCAGAATTTCTCGAAATGTGGTTTTTAATTGCATTGTTATTGCTAATTTTATTGATGACATAGTTTAAACATTTAAGTTCACGGAAAAAACAATAAATTAAAAAAGATCGAGCATTACGAACATAGATATTTCATCTTTATGGTATAGATTTCGTATTTGTAGTAATTGGTTTTAGATACAATAATTAGCAAAGTGGATAGTCATTATTCGAACTTATTACGTTCATAAATATTAGTTTTAACTTATATCAGTAGCCAGTGGCGTATCTAGAATGATATTTATGGGGGTGGTTACAGAAATAAAAATATATCTACAACATAAAATTATTATCTATATGTATATTTTAAAATTTATTTCATAACATTTACATTTATACATTTACTTTTTGTTATTTTAACATGAGTAAAAAAAAAAGAATCCATTTTTCCCGATGATTTTTTTTATCACTTTCCGAATGAGCCTAAAATGATTTAATTATAAAACAAAAATCATATTTTATAATATCTACTAGTTATAATATAATATACTATACTGTATATAATTTAATATTCGAAAAAAAATTATTTAGTATTATAAAATAAATTAATTTTGTTAACACTTACTATTTTAATTCTGTGAAACGTAAGACTATAAATGTAAAGACGTTAACTTGTTCATATAACTTCTCGGATAAGAAAGAAAGAATTAACTATAATATTTCCAAGATCAAAATAATAGTACTCATTGATTGTGATTAATGTTTTGTGAAAAATACCTAGAATATCTAATTATAAAACTATTATACGCTCTTCTAGTTTATAATATACAATGACAATATTTATGATCATCCGTATTATAGAGAACGTTATTACTTGTATATAATATTACATTTTTTATATTTGGATACTTGGTTAATGGGTTAATATTAAACGCAACTGATCTATTGATATTGATCGTAACAAAGCGCAAGAAACTAAAATAACATTAAAAAAAAAAAGCCTAAGGGGGTCGTTTGAACCCCCAAAACTACCCTCATGGATACACCACTGTCAGTAACTATTCACGGCAAATGTTTCAACTGTACAATATTTATTGCTATTTCTTACAAAAAAAAATTTATATAAATATATAATATAAATTATTTATTGTAGACGAAAATCGAATGATTTATAAATATTATTGTTGCCAAAAAGGACAAACGTACGCAATCGTATTCTACCGATTTTTATAATACTTTTTAATCTTCATATATTTATTTATTTTTGAAAATTCGTTTATACATATTTAATTGTGTGTATACCTATACAAATGTACCTTTTTCCATCGTGCAGGAACTAGCATGCCTACTTCCTGGTTTTTACCGTGTAGGAACTTACTTATATCCGTGTATGAGCCAACGTATGTAATTGTTTACCTGCTACTTTTGTGTAGGAACTTACGATTCCCCAACATAACAACAGTGCTTGTTATTACAAGGGACTTGTTGCAGCAAAAGGGTGTAGTATATTGAGATGGAACGATGAAAACCCGTTAATACTGTGGGTCACGGTCGAATATATTTTCATAGAATACGAGTTACAATAGATAATCACCACCTCCGGCGTATTTCACCTGCTTGCACTGAGATCAGTACGTGTGTTATAATCTGTAGTCTGTACACTGAACTGATTCGGATGGACGTAAACTTAGTTAAACTTCTAAAGTGATCCCATTTAAAAACGATTTCGGTTAACCAAAAAGATTTCGTTTTTACACTGTTAACGAATAAAGAAAATCTATCAACAAATGTTTGATCTCAAACGATTTAAATATTTGAGATTTTTATGATGAAATGAGCGATTTTTCAACTTGAATGTTTTACATCGTTTCAACGAAACGTAAACGGTATATGATTAGATAGGGTTCATAAAAAATGAAAATAAATAATATGATAGATAAGATGAACTACAAATTTGTTATTCAACAGTATAAAATTGAAAAAAAATCATAAGATGTTATTATTCAAAAATATATATATGCGTTTATTCACATATTATAAAGTGGACTAACCTGAGCACGTTTAAGCATTTTTACGAATTCTTGTTCCGGTCCGGTAGTCAATACGGCAGTCTTTCCCAACCAGGATACGCGAACTTAAATTAAAAGTGCCGTGAAATTATTTAAAATACATTTTTTAAGAAAAACGTTTCATGAAAAATAAAACGCTTTGAGCAATAACACAGATTAAAATATAAAACCTATTGTATTTCATATAATTTGTAGTAATACTGCGATTAATCTATTTTAGTTTTCATACCAGTTTGATTGTAATTGCTTCGATAGCTTCAAAGTTACAAAATATAAATATAAATACATAATATATTACTATTTAGTATAGATCTTATAGTATGTAATATAGGGTGCCTCCGGAATTTTATAAAATAACCTAGTGTACCGTGAGTCATGGAAGATTGAGAAACTGCCATACAGCTTTACCCCCGGTCCAGGTTTTAATTTGACCACAATATCACGAACTGGAGGTATTATTGCACGATATACATGGTGTGATAAAAAAATAACAGGATTTTAATTAAAACTTTATTAATACAATAATATTATAATAATATAAAACAATATTATTTTAACAACATATTATGTTCTTCAAAGTGATCTTCCTAAGAAGCAATACACCTCTTTTCACCTTTTGAAAAAAATTATGGTAAACATTTAAGGGAATGTCTTTAAAATGAATTTTGATTTTATTAACTTTGTAAGTACGAAAAATTTTTAATTCGAAACCGATGGTACTTTATAAATATAATAATACTCCAGGCTAAGTATTTATATATTTATTTATATTTGTATAAACTATTTATCTATATATTTACAGCAAACGTTTTTTTTAAAATTCACAATAATAAATATTTTTGCTATACGAAATTTGTTGATAAACTTTTATAGATTTTTGAATTAATAGAATAACTCGTTGTTTGTACGTCATTTACTTTCCACTTATTTTATTAACAAAAAAAAAAGCTTGATATACATTTAATTTACTCTATTCTGAAGAAATTAAAGGTTATGACAACATTATTGTAAAGGTTTCCAAAAATAAAAAAAATTATATTAATGATAAATATTATTTTTACACGTTATTACTATAATCTTACATGTTCTTAAAACACAACATGGTTATTTTATACTTAATTTGTATTATAATTATCACGTATATTATTCACCATGCAATTAATATAAACGAGTTTTATTTAAGTAGGATTTATTTTCCACTATAAAAAGCCGTGTAAACTTTTCAAATTATTAATAGTTATTTACTTATAATATACATGATAAATTTACTTTTATAATATTACATGAGTCTGTAGAATGTCGGGTCATTCTGATCCTATTGTTGATGACTATTCTTCAAATTATGAGGTATGTAAAACCCTCCATTGTACAACTATTATTTTTTTGTAAAAAAAAAAAAAATAAAAAAACAAGATAATATTTTATTTTATTATTGTTAATATTGCTATTTTTTTTAAATTTAATTAGGTTGAGAGTTAGAAAATTAACAGTATTATATTAAATTATATAATAATATTTTGTTTTACCTTTTCGTTTTGAGTTTTCTTTGGTTTTATGACTTCAGATTCATCTTTCATTTTTCTTTTCTTTTTTTTAAATTTTTTTTCTTATTTCATGCTGGTTATTTTCACAAATTGAACTCTCAACCTAATTGAGTAAAAATTAGAAATAGCAATATTAACAATAATAAAATAAAATAATATTCTTTTTTTTAAATTTTTTTTTTCACAAAAAATAATATTTGTAAAATGGAGAGATTTACTTCTCTCATCCTTTGAAAAATAGTCATCAACAATAGGATCAGATTGATCCGACATTCTACAGACTCATGCAATACTATAAAAGTAAATTTATCTTGAATATTATAAGTAAAAAACTATTAATAATTTGAAAAGTGTACATGGCTTTTTATAGTGGAAAATAACTCCTACTTAAATAAATCTCGTTTAAAGTAATTGCATAGTGAATAATATACGTGATAATTATAATACATCTTAAGTATAAAATAACCATGTTATTTTTTCAAGAACATGTAAGATTATAGTAATAACGTGTATAAATAATATTTATCATTAATATAATTTTTTTATTCCTTGAAACCTTTATTATAATGTTATCATGACCTTTAATTTCTTCAGAATAGATTTTATTGTATTTATATCATGCTTTTTTTTTATTAAATAAGCAGAAAGTAAATGACGTACGAATAACGAGTTATTAATTCAGAAATTTACAAAAGTTTAACGGCAAGTTTCGTATTGCAAAAATTTTATTACGAATTTTGAAAAACATAATTTCCTAGAAACGTTTACGTATATATTATAACTATATACTCGTTCATCAAGGCAATCGCCGAATTCCGTCCCGGGTTGCTGAAAATGACCGAATTCCGTCCCGGAGGCGGAGCAAATATGTCCGAATTCCGTCCCGGGAGTGGATAAACTATGTCCGAATTCCGTCCCGACTAGTCTTGGACGGTATTAATATAAGTTCAATTTTATAGAACTTCAAGAGGCTTCACCTGACATCACGCGTATCGTTTTTTTGTATTATCGCAATAATTCGCAATAAAAACGTAAATGATTTATATACTATGTATTATGTATACCAAAGTCAGGTGTCGTCTAAGTTTTTACCAGCCTATTTCAAATCTAAAAAATAATAATTAAAAAAAAAAAAAAAATAATTTAAATAATAAATAATTTAAATACTAATTACACATAACATATATTATACTTATACTCTTAAATTTATTAAAATACTTATATGATTGTCATATTTATACATAAATGGCATATACTGTAAGTGGAGTTTTTTTTGCTCTGTATGTCAATAATAAATAAATAAGGCTGTTTTGCCGGATTTTACATTTTTAAACATGCCAGCAAAGCTGCCAGTCCTAAGCCTGGAGAAAATGTGAAGGAAAATATTACTGCCAAATATATCATAGTTACAGGTAGTAGGACGGAATTCAGACATAGTTGCTCTGCCTCCGGGACGGAATTCGGTCTTCAGTTATGGAACCATAGGGGGCCCGGGACGGAATTCGGTACCAGCCTTCATCAGTATTGTCAGAAATATTATAATACGTCTATTTTTTATTAGTTATAGTTTTTATATTACATCAATCTTGATAATTGTTTATCACACTAAAATTATTTGATATAAACTCATTGTAGTCATTACAGTATTTGAATACTAGTCGTTCATAACTGATTAGTGACATAAAGGACTACAGTGAAAACAAAAATATATGAGCTACAGCATAATATATCTATGAAAAATTCAGTATATAGCTGTTATTTGTGTAAGTATACATTAAAATAACATTAATAAATCATAATATATTTATAAAATCGACATATTTTTTTAAAACAATTTTTAAAGAGAAACCAAACCAACTAAATGTAATACTAGATTAGCTACATCAAAATATGGAAACCAAAAAATTCAAATTTGACTAAAAGTTATTTAATTAACTATTTAAATTATAATAATCAAACTGCAGTCATTTTATTATGGAATGATAGTAGCATGGATAAAAATATTCTTTTCGGACTAGGTATTAATAATATTATAATAAATATAATAATAATAAATAATAATAAAATTATATCTAATCATAAATTAAGTCACATAAATAAAAATGGTAGATTCCTATCATTATAGGAAACTCATAAAATAATTTGAAACAAAATCATAATATATTATTTTTACTTGATGCTGTTAACGATAGAAAATTAACTAAATTCATTTTTAGGTATTTTTCGAAAATAGAAAAATATTATAATATTTTAAATAAAATTATGTTAAGTTTAAATTAATCAACAAATAGTAATAAATAAGTATAGTTTTTTATTTTGTATTAAAACTATAAAAAAAATAAATATATTAATACCATACATTATTTAGATACATAGTCAAAATTTGTTTATTATTTCAGTAAAAATTAAAAGAAATATAATTAAAAAAAGTACACGCATTAATACAATGAATGGAAACGGTCTAGTAGTGATATAGAAATAGAACGATTTAAGAAATCTTCACGAACCTATGTTTTAAAAAATGATAATAAATTCATATACTTCAATACATTTTTGAATTATAGTTTAAAAATACTAGATAATAAATTAAATTAAATCACTTTAAAAACATCAATAAAATTCAATTTATTTTCAGATTGTGTATACATAAATGTTTTCACACGAGAAAAACGAGATATCTCTTTAAAAGCCACAAATTTAAAACCTATTCGAATTTTCCTAATTTATTAAATAAAATGTTCAATAAACTTATTGATGAAGAAAGCAATTTTTTAACAAAGTAGGTATTCAATATTATTTAAATTTGGCAATCGTTTAAATAAATGTAAGTTTAGTTTTAATAAATATAATTTTAAAATTTTAGAAAGAAAAGTGATTTGAATTTCAATTGTATTGATTTTCCAACACCTATAAAACAAATTAAAACGTTTGAGCGTATAAATAATGTTAAAATAAACGTGTTTGGTTTAGGTGATAAGGATTTAATTTTTCAACTGTATATGAATAAAAATGAAAGTGATAATCATTTCGATTTATTTTTGTTTAATAATTGCAAAACATCACACTATTGTTACATTAAGAATTTTTTTAGACTTATCCATTGTTAAAGAAGTAAGCATGAATCTAAATTAATTATATGCAAAAGATGTTTTATAACTTTTAGTGATAAGCCGATAGTGACAATTAATTATTGAGAGTATTAATGGATTAAAAGAACATAAAAAAAAATGTGGAAAATATAAGCTTGGAAGACCTGTTATTTTTGAAAACGGTGATGATGATTTTATATATTTTAAAAACTATAAAAGATCATTTAAAATACCTTTAATAATTTATGTTGATTTCGAATGTTTTTTTAAAATCCGTGCCGCGTAAAAAACTTAAAAATAAAATCAGAACATGTATAACACAAGAACATAAGCTATGCATTTAATGTGAAAATTGATTATTCGACTATATCTAAATATTTAATAAAAAAATTTTAAATTCCAACAAAACTTCATATTTATCCGGTAAAACATTTTATGAAAACATTGATAGTAATCATTTTACAGGAAATTTCAGATCCGTGCGTTGTTTAGATTGCAATTTTGATTTAAATAACGTATCATATTTATCTATATATTTCCATAATTTAGCATATTACAGTCAATGTATGAATGACAAATATATATATCATTTAGTAAAAAAATTGATTTTAAATTTAGTATAAAATTTATAGACACGTACTGTTTTATATATACTCTTTAACAAAAAATTTATCTGAAGATCAGATGAAATGTAGAAAAACTCTAAAAATATTTTCAACATCAGATCTAGATTTAGTTACACGTAAAGGTATATTTCCATATGAATATACTGATAATGTAGGTAAATTAAATGAAACGTATATACACGTAAAACACGCATTTTATAATTCATTAATTGATAAGGATATAAGTGATGAAGATTATTTACATGCTCAAAAAATTTGGAAAAGATTTAATTTAAAAACATTAGGTGAATATAGTGATTTATACTTAGCGACAAATGTATGTCTTCTTACTGATGTTTTCGAAAATTTTAGAGTTTTTGATTAATACATCAAATGAAAAATCAAAACGTTAACGTTAACGTTTTGTGTTAATTGTTATTCTTATCAGTAATTAAATATCACAACAGTGATTAGGTATCTTAAAATAAAATAAACATTATTTAAGCTAAGCTAATTTTAAATTTTACTGAATAATTCAGAAGTCATAAACTATCGAATAATTGAATAATTTGAAATTATCGAATAGTCCAAATAGTTTCGAATAATTCGGAACAATCGAATATTTTGAAAAACTATCGAAAATTAGAATATGCTGGACTATTGAATAGTTCGATAGTAGTATTCGATAGTGCCCATCACTAGATTAAACTAGAACGGTTAAAAAATTATAACATGCAATTGATGTTGAAACAAGGAATACGTGGGGAGAATTGTTATTCAGTTAAAAGACACGTAATTACTAATAAACCTAACATTGAAAATTTAATTTATGGTAAAAATAGACCTATTACATGGTTGACTTATCTAGATTGTGTAAATTTATACGGAAAGTCTATGTTGTCTAGTTAAAAAAAAAAATTTTGAATGGTTAAACAATTTAACAATAGATGTGACAAATATTGAAAATGATGCTGAGTATGGGTAAATTTTGGAAATAGACATTAATTATCCTAAAACATTACATAAACTTCATAATGATTTTCCATTTTTACCGGAAAACAAATTTCCATTGAATTCAAGAGTAAAGAAGCTTCTTATAATTCTAGAACCAAAATATAATTACGTTGCACATTATAGAAATTTAAAACAAGTTATTGCTAATGAGTTAGTTGTAATAAAAGTTTATAGAATTTTACGTTTTTCTTAATCTAAATGGATGACATTATTGAACTATGTACTGATATGAGAGTTAAGTCACAAAATAAATTTGAAAGTCAACTTTGGTAGTTACTAGTAAATAGCGTGTTTGGAAAATGTATTGAAAATGTAAGAAAGCAAATGTCGATAATTCTCGTTTCTAATAAGAAAAAGGCTCATCGTTTAATGATGAAAGCTAATTTCAATGATAGAATAATATACTCTAAACAATTAATGGCAATTAATTTGTTTAAAAAAAAAATTTAATTTAATAAGCCCATATACATAGGATTTAGCATATTAGATATTTCAAAAACGATTAGGTATGCTTTTCATTACAACACAATGAGACAGATGTACGGAAAGAGGATTAATATTGTGAATTCAGATACTGATTCACTAGTTTACGAAATAAAAACACATAATTATTTCGATGACATAAAATATAAATTATTTTCTTATTTTGATACTTCAAATTATCCTAAAACCATTATTGCTATAATGATATGAAAAAATAAACCAGAATATTTAAAGATGAAATGCTCAAATTTTATTGGAATTTATAACGTTACGTCCTAAGTTATATGCTTACAGAGTCAATGAAAAAGAAGTAAAAAAAATTAAGGACTAAAAAAATATGTAATTGAAAAAAATATTAAATTCAAAGAATATTTAGATACATTAAATGCTTATTTTAAATATGAAAAAATGTCAAGAGAAATTGGATATAAAACTATGAATTGCATACTGTCTAATAATCATTTTGTTTATTCTTAATAGATTACTAAACTTGCCCTCAGGGCTAATGACGATAAAAGAATTATAATGTTTGATGGAATAAATACTTTCGCATATGGTCAATATAAATTATAATATGACTAAATTTATTGAATTTTTTCCTTAATCATTCTTTATTTTTATTTTTTTTTCTTAAAATTCTAATTTGTAAATTATGTAAATTAATTATAATGAGTAGATTAATATGGAAATTACATTTTAGCAAAAATAACCACTGCAGACAATTATTACGATCAATTTTATAATAAATACATTGTTATCTTATACAAAAGAGGAAGGGAAAGAAAAATATTAAAAAAATCATTAAAAGAAGAAAATAAAATAAAATTCTTTATTAAAAGCTATTTAATAACTGACATAGAGATCATCGAAAAAATAAAATTAAAATAAAATACAATATTTACTTAAACATAAATAAAAAATAAATAATGAATTGTATGATGGCACTAATAATATTTATAACAAATTCAATTATAATGGCATATTATGTCAAAATTTACAATATGAATTAAATGAGCATTGTTATAGACTTAATAATAATACTCCACAATATGTAAAATACCAAATATATAATGAATAATCAAGAACATATAATTTTATTACATCATTGTTTGTATCATGTTTTTTTTCTTTTTTTTTTTTTGTCATAATTTTATATGTTGTTTTTTATAATTTTAATTTTGTGTATGTGTATAAATATATATATTTATATATATAAATATATATTTAAACACATACACACACTTATATATATATATATATAAATTTAAAAAAAACAACAGATATTGAATCTACCTATTTATTAAAGTATTTTAATTAATTATTGTTTTTTTTTCATATTATATTGTATTATATATTATTAATTATATTTATATATAAACGTTAATTATGTTTTTTAAAAATTATAAATATATGTATAAAATAGAAATACACACACACACACACACACACACACACACATATATATATATATATATATAATATGTTGTATATATCTCAGATTATTTTATGATATCTTTTAAAGTTATACAAATTATGATTTGAACTGAAACCTAACCATTTAATGAAAATGTTATACTTACTTTTTTTATAATACGTTCAACAAGAAACGTGTCTGGAAAATCAGTTTTTTGAATTTATTGTTGATAAAAACAGCCTAATATTATATTATTTAATTAATATTTTAATTTACATGTTATTGGATTTGTAGGTAAATTCTCTAAAATTCAAAACACTTCTGTTGTCCATTTCGGAGTATACCCCTTATCAAAAACATGTTTATACTTTGAAATCCAGACTTATCGTTTATTTTAAATTTAGATTTTTTCACTTTACTATGATGAGATTGAAACTTTTGAAATTTTGTTCGAGCTTCATGAGGAGTACATTTAATTGTACTGTACAATGTATTATTATATATTATTATTATTATTATTATTATTATTATTATTATTATTATTATTA